TGGAGCACTTCAGAGAGTTAAACTTCCTGCCACGCGTCCCAGAGAGGACATTTGCCCCGAGCAGAGTGAGCTCCAGGGCCCTGTGAAACACTCTATCTGGTTGATGGATTTACCCAGAGCAAGGCCATGCCCTGCCTTCAAGTCACCCGGCTAAGTCTGTCTTTACTGCGCAGATGAGCTCACTGTCACACGTCCTCGGGACTCTGAAACGAAGTCCTTGGGGTTTTTCCTTCTACTTCATGCTCTCACTCTCAGTCCCCAAACTCGGCGAAGCTGACAGACAGGCTGAAAGGTAGGTCTCACCTTAAATTCCCGTTCTCCAGGACCTGGCCTTTCTCTAACCTTTTGTCTCCATATCCCGCAGTGGCATCTTACATTCACTTGCCTGCCACAAAAATGCCCCCTCCACCACCACCCGGGCTCCATTCTGCCTGACCTCAGTCCCACCTGCCCACCACTCCCCCGTCTCCTGTTCTACCCCGTCCACCTGCCAGGGCACTGGGGGCCCAAGCAGATTTGCGAGTTCGCTTGGAGGGTATCTCCAGGGGAGCTCAGAGGCAAGTCCAGCCCAGGGCCCGAGGGGCAGAGTGAAGCAGTGACAGGTCCACACGACAGGGGGAGCCCCGGGGGTGAGACTTTTGAGGATAAGGGAGTGGGAGCTGGGGGGCTCGGGGGCAAGGAGAGTTGGTCCCTGCTGCCAGGTGAGGTCTTTTTCTCTCAGGACTACCTTATAAAATATGGGCATATTTTTGGTTATGAACGTAGTCTGGGCTCCCACCCCTGATGACTTTCTGGCGTCTTTTTCTCTAGTTCCTTCATCTCCAGTGTTGCGCTTCCACCCTGTTTTCTCGATTACGAAACTATTCCATACGTGCATGGCTCATGTTCAGTGTTTTAACGTTGGTATAATATTTCATGATGACACTATGGTGTGGTTGCCTGGTTTAGCAAATAAAAAACGGCAGGACACCCAGTTCAGCCTGAGCTCCAGGGAAACAGCACGCGCGTTTATGGGGGTCGGACGTCCCGAGCGGCGTTCCCAGCGCAGTCTCGGGACACCCTGGTTTTCTGCTCATCTGAGACTCCGGCCGTGGCTCTTCATGTTTTATCCGCAGTCCTGCGACTCGCACGCTGTTTGCACGGCTTCTCGCTGCTGAACACTCAGATGTTTGCGGCGATGCGGTGGATGGCTTTGGGCGTGAAATTTTCCGATTTTGAATTACTACCTTAGCTGGTTGTGAGAGGTAGAATTACTGAGGAGATGAGTCGTTTCCAAGACTTTTCAAAGCGATTGCTCAATCACTTTTTAAAAAGGTTATAGCAATTTAGGCTCCCGCCAGCGGCGCGGAGAGCGCCCCGCCCGCACCCTAGCCGACTTCTCGCCACCTCGGAACGTCTTTGCTGTTTTGGGAAGCGAGTAACGAGGCATCATTTTCATACTTGATTACTAATGAAGTTCGCGGTTTTTGTTTATTAGACATTCTATGCCCTGAATTTTCAATCTCCTGCAACCGTATCCCCCCTCCTCTGTCCCTGTTTTGCATCGCTTTGAAGTCATAAGGAATAGGTCTTATTTTTATTTATTTATTCAGTTTTGCGCAGCCACTGGAGCTGGAACCCGGCCCCCAGGCTCGGGTTCCAGGAATGAGTCCTGGACACACCCCCACCATGGGCCAGGCTGCCAACCTACCCGCAGTTTCAAGTAAAAGCTTCATTTGACTTCTAAATGCATTTCAAATAAATCAATTCTAAAGCACAGAAGAGCCATTTCTTTCCAAGCCTGCAGAAGAAAGCTCTTCTTTTCACAGCTCTCCCCATTTCTGTTTCCAGCGTGTAATGGGGGTCAACCACGGCTTTCATACCTACCCGCGTTTCACTGCCCCCCACAGCCCGCGTGGGTTCCCGTGAGCGGTGAAGCTTCATGGGGTCCCCAGTGTTTCCTCTGAGAACACAGCAGCGTGCCGCGGATGGACCCCAATCCAAAGGGACGGGGGTGCGTCTCTGTGAATTTTCACAGGCAGATGCCCCTTTCCCAGGTGGCCCAAAGCTTGAGGTTAGGAAAGAGCTGAAATGGCAAGATATGCTCTTTCTAGGGACTAACAGTACAGGTTAGTTCCGGAGCATTGCCTTGGGTCGAGTAAAGAGCACATGGCACCGCCTGGCCTTCCGATTGCTGATGGAGGTGGCCTGTCTGTGTCTCTCTCCCGGGACCACTTCACTTAAGGGGCCACTGGGTTGGCTTCTCCGTGACGTTCCCATGCACCGGGAACACTTCCCCACTGGCCCTGACGCGTCCCGGGCCTTGTCCTGTGGAAATGGCTCCATTCTCTGTAGTGTTTCCTTTTCTGCATCACATCAGCCCCCCAGCTTCGCCTTGGGTGGGTCCTGCAGGCTTAGGGGGCAGCCTGCCCCCCAGCTGAGTGTGGCCTCATCACCTGCTCCCGGGCCTGGCAGCGCCCAGCCCTCGGCTTTCTCACGGCCGCTCTGAGGTCTTGCTCTTCCACTTTGAACTTGACATTGGAAGTTCAGCACTTGGGTACGTTGCTTCTGGATAGACGCAGCTGGCTTCGTGATTTAGGTGATTCTAGTGGGAGTCTCCATTGTTTACCTCTGTGACCTGCAAAAAAATACTGTGAGCCCGTGATAGGGGCGGCTTGGCCCATACAGGCCTCGTCTTGCCCTAGAAAAGCTCCTCTGGGGGGGCGGAGGGGGAGTCCAGGTCATGGCGGCTCCATCAGCATGGGGGGTGGGATCGTCTGTGGCCTTTACCTGGCCTCCCCCTCTCCCAGCGTTCTCTCTGACTGCAGGGGTGCGGGAGAGGGTTCCCCACCTTGTGCCGGCCATCAGCAGTGGCCTCAGATCTCTCAGGATTAACATGTGCGTCCAGATGAGAGGGGCAGGATTGAGCTCAGCTGCTAGGCACCCCCCTTGCAGCCAGTGACTCACTCCGAGGGGAACAGCTCAGTGTCACTGCCTGTCCGATGGGACATGAAGAGAGTGTGTGGTGTGACCGACGGGGCCGTGGTTCTGATGGCCTCGTTGTCATTGATCAACAGGTGATGTTATGAAGACCATGACCCCAAGTGGCATCTCATAGCATAAAGAACAGGCAAACGTGGCTCCTCTTGAACTCAACGGGGTGCCAAACATTTATGTATTTCAAAAGTTTATAGCCCTGGCCGGGCGGCCCAGGTGGTTGGAGTGTCGTCCGTATACCAAAAGGTTACGGGTTCAATTCCCGGTCAGGGCTGCAGGTTTGATCCCTGGTTGGGGCGTGTACGGGACACAGACGATCGCTGTTTCTCTCTCCCCCTCTCTCCCTACCTCTCTCTCTAAAAATCAATAAAAGCATATCCTCAGGCCAGGATCTAAAAAAGTTGGTACTCATAAATAGACATTTCGCCATGGCACAACTCATTCCTCCAGTGGAAAACCCACATTATTTAGCTCTTTCCCTGAACCCCAACTTGGAATCTGCATCTCAGCAATTATTATTGTTCACAAGTAATTTACATTTCTGGGCAAGGGGGAGACACCATACTGTCATTACTGTGTTTGTTCAGTTCACGTAATGCACCCTTGGGGGCCCCATTTGGAAGCATGTATGTATACTGTGGATGTAAAATGAATTGGAACAATATTGCACTCGAACATTTCACTACAGAGAGTGAATTTCAAATTAATGCAAAAGACATTTAGGCACTCAAATATACTGCCTGTAAAAGTGGAGTTCGTAAAAGAATGCAATTTGGGAGCTCATTTAATAAGGCAAAATTAGGGGCACGTCTGAAAGTATGTCTCATCCTATAATTTTACCGTACTTGTTCTGGTTTAATGGGAAAAAATATATGTCCTATGTTTCTTAAAATGTCATTAATTTAGGGGAAAATATAGGAGAGCAAGGAAGGCTTTTAAGATGTTGTTAGCCATGAACCCTGGACATGATACATTGCAGTCGTTGGCAACAGGACCGGTTAGCCGCCTGCCCGCCTGCCAAACAATTCCCCTTCAGTGTGCACACACACATGCACAGACCTGCACACACAAACATGCACATACACAAATATGCACATGCATAGACCAGCACACACACACAGACCTGCACATGCATGCACAGACCAGCACACACACACACAGACCTGCACACACACGCACACCCANGACCTGCACACATAAACACACATACACAGACCGGCACACACACACACAGACTTGCATGCACACAAACACACATGCACAGACCAGCACACACAAACATGCACATACACAAATATGCACATGCATAGACCAGCACACACACACAGACCTGCACATGCATGCACAGACCAGCACACACACACACAGACCTGCACACACACGCACACCCACAAGCACGCACACGCTGGCCGCCGCCATCTGCTGCTTCGCCGGTTCCTTCCCTCCGCTCGCCCTGGCTTCCTTTGCCGGTCCCCTCCTCCCGCCTTCCCTCCCTGCGCTGTCCGCCCGAGAAACTCCCGTCTCCCTACTTTGCATTCTGATGAGCCTGTGCCCCTCACATTCCCCGTGTGGAGGCGAATTGGGCCATATTTCACCGTGGAGTCGGTGGTGACTGCCTCCAATTGGCCAAGGGGGACACAGGCAGGTTTTTGAGAAACGAAAGGCCTCTGCATGCAGTGGCCCAAGGGCAGCGAGTTCCCAGAGGGCACAAGACATGCGTGGGGCTGATTTCAATCCTGTCTAACTTTTACATATTTAATGTGAAAATATTTAAAGCTTGTTTTTCCTGCTGGGACAACTCCGTATCAGGAAGCATTTAATTTAATGCAGTTAGAGAGAAATCCATAGAGAGAAAACCCCAAAAGATTGTGAGGTTGTAGTGACCAGTGACCTTCTGCTGGCTGGCCAGGGGTGGCGGAAGTCGGGCCCTCTCTCCACAGGTTCCCCCCAGACTCCTGGCCGATACCCGCCCTTCCTGGGAGTGTTGTCCGCCCACCCCTAACTGTGTCTCTGATCCCTTCCAGGGGAGCTTTGTGGCGTGCATGACCGCGATTTTACGGCAGATGGAAGACTATCACTACGCCCACTTGATCAAGACTTTCGGGAAAATGAGGACCGATGTGGTGGTGAGTGAGCGCTGACCCTTCCCCACACCTGTGTTTGGGGGACACGAGTGCACGTAGGTAGATGGGCCGGGACTCCCCTCTGGCAGTGGCGGTGAGAGAGGGTGCCGTTTACTCAGGTGGGTGGGGAGAGGGGTGCACAGAAGCAGATGGGCTTGTGACAAGCAGGCTTCGCCCTTGGAATACCTTGGTGGCTGTTGTTAGAGCTGTCCGCTTGGTAGGTGGGATGTCCTCTCAAAAATCAAACTACGAAATGTAGCAGGGACAGATTGGCCTTGAAAGATGAACGTTTTCACAAAATATCTCATATTCGTCCCCCACCTCCCCTGTTGACTTGGAAATGCCGGTGTAATTAATAGTCTATGAGGCCACGCCAGCCGTCCTAGGCGAACGCGACTGCAGGGACCGTCGCCACGGCTGGCGAGGGACACAGGCCGCGAGGAAGCCTTGCAGAGCCTCAGCTCATCCAGCAGCTGAGCCGTGCTGATGAACGGCGGCTGTGCGTCCCGGGGAAAGAAAGAAAGGAAGGAGCTGGGGAAATGGGCTTCTCTTCCAGAATAGTAAAAGCCAGACCCTATATCTCAATTATTAGGCTTTGAGGAGCAATCGGCAAGAAAGCAGCAATTTCATGCAAATGGAGATGCGACTAAATTACACCACTCAGCCTGAGAAATATGCAAACTGATCATTAAAATGTGGGGCTCTTGAGGAAGAGGGGAGCTCAAGGAGTGAAATATGAATTTCAATGTTTAATCTGGCGAGAGAAGCCGATGGATGAGTCGAGGGCACCCGTAATACCGCTGCCTGAAGGCCTGGTGGTCAGAGACTGTGTGAGCAAAGTTTGGGGGGCCGTGGGTTGACTTTGCCCTCTGGACCTTGCCCAGGTCCCCAGGGTCTCCTAGACTGGTGGTGATCACGGTTGTTCCCTGAGTTTTTATTAGTGGGAGGGGGCCTGGCATTGGTATTGAGGTTGCAGAGGACACGTCTTAATTTGAACATCGGCTGTTGTCCAGTCTAACTGGCCCGTCTGCCGGAAGCCCTGGGAACCGTGTGCTGGGAACGGCTGGCTCGGCTACTTAAATTCCATTCCCCTCCCTGGTCTTCGCAGCCACCGCACCAAATTACAGCTCAGTAGATTAGAGAAACGAGAAGCGGGCACTCACTTGGCAACCTCCGACCCAGGCCGCACTTTTCTGAGTGACTCTCAGTTGCCTTTTCCCCTCTTTGAGCCTTTTATTTGCTAAATTCTGTAAGGAAAAGGAATGGATAATAAGAGCCCACGTTCAGCTGGATGGAGCCTGCTGATAGTGCAAAATGGATTTAGAGTAAAGATAAGAACCATTAATAATAATAATCTTCATGTTAAGTTTGTAAAAAATGTGTTTTTCTATAAGCAGAAAGTGTATGAATACATATGTGTAATCTTTGCTGACTTTGCTCTTCACGACTATTAGAAAGACGTACCTGGGACTGTTTACAATCATAGCCTTGGGAAAGTTACCCCAGGCAGGAGGGGCTCAGCAAACAGAAAGACAGAAGTAGTTTGCCAGCCTCTGAAATACATCTTTGTTACTTTTTCTTTTTCTTTTAAAATATATCTTTATTGCTTTCAGAGAGAGGAAGGGGGAGGGAGGGAGAGAGAGAGAGAGAGAGATCGGCTGCCTCCTGCACTCCCCCTGNCTTTCAGAGAGAGGAAGGGGGAGGGAGAGAGAGAGAGAGATCGGCTGCCTCCTGCACTCCCCCTGCTGGGGATGGAGCCCGTAACCCGGGCATGTGCCCTGATCGGGAATCGAACCCAGATCTCCTGGATCTTAGGTCAACGCTCAACCACTGAGCCACGCCGGCCGGGCCATCTGCGTTACTTTTTAGAAAGCTTTCATTCAGCTAACAAAACAAGGTCATCCGTAGTCTATTTATTCGAGGGGGGCGGGGACTGGGTCTCCCCTTGTTCTTGGTGGGCTGTCTCAGTGTTTTGGTTTTATTTCAGGATTTCCTGATGGAAACGTTCATCATGTTCAAGAACCTCATCGGGAAGAACGTCTACCCCTTCGACTGGGTGATTATGAACATGATGCAGAACAGGTGAGCACGGGAGCAGCACCCCGCCTGCACCCGGCGCCCCGGCCACCCGGGGGCGGCGCTGTTGCCTGGTGACCGTGGCCTCTCCCCACAGTACACAGGCTCCCCCTCCTGTGACACAAATACATGTTTGGAGAAACGGACCTGGAGATGGGGTGGTTCCCTTGTGCTAGGATGGGCATCTGTCGCTAAGAACCTGGGCTCCCCCGTCCCCCCCGGAGGAAACAAACCTGAGCAGGAGCCACCCTTGGCCCTGTCGAGGGCAGAGGTACCCTGTGCCCCACCCTGCCGTCTCATTCGAACCACGTATGTTTATTAGCCAGAGCGAGCCTCAGCGCTGTGCCAGGTGTTACAAAGATGTTTGCATTTGACATATTTCGGCTTCAAAAAACTCATGAACGTTTTCTTCATACTTATTAAATATTAAGCTTGTGTTTGTCACCTCCCTGCCAGGGCTGCTGGTTAATTTTCCAGCCCCTGGGTTTTTTAATTTCTGTAAGTACCAACAGCGATCACTGGGTTCTCAATCATGTGCGATTTCCAGAGGAAATTGCTGTTTACCCCCGTTTTTCCTTCCTCCTTATTGCGATTGTCCCGGAGATCACCGGAGATTCATAGGCAGTGCGGTCGTAACACACGGGGAGGCTGTGCACGCTTTATCTAGGTCCCCCGATGACAAACATTCGGCAAAACTATAGCACCGAACCGCAAGCAGAAAACGACCCTGATACAGTCATGGGTGTTTCTCACCGTTCCAGTTTCAGTGGTGCTCCTGGGTGGCGTGTGTTCTCGACTCCGTCGCAGTGAAGACCCGACCGCCTCCGTCGCCACAGGGCCCCTCGTTGCCCATTTACAACCCTCCCTCCTCTCCCCTCCTGCTCGCCCGCCCCGGCCCCCGGCAACCACCACTTTATTCTTCATTTCACCGTTGGGCCGCTTTGAAAATGTTCTGTGAGGAGGTGGGGATGGTCGGCTGCTTTCAGGCCGCGTAATTCCCTGGAGAGCGTCAGGTGGTTGTGTGGAGGGCTCGTTCCCTTCCTTCGGAGTAGGGTCCCGTGGCGTGGACGGCCACAGGTGGTTTAACCACTGTCCTGTTGAAGGGCATCCCCGCCACCTCCAGTTTGGGGCTATTATAGATGAAGCTGCTAGGAACAGTCACGGACAGGTTTCCGTGTGAATGTAAGTCTTCGTTTCTCTGGCTCGAATGCCCGGGGGTGCAATGGTGGGTTGCCAACTAGTTTTTATTTTGTTTTAAAATGGTTATAGAGAGAGAGAAAGGGGACGGGGGAGAGAGAGAAACGTCGATTTGTTGTTCACTTGTGTACACAGTCATTGGTTTATTCTTGTGTGTGCCCTGACTGGGGATCGAACCCGCAACCTTGGCATATCAGGACGACGCTCTGACCACCTGAGCTACCCGGCCAGGGCCTATTGGCAGATATCCTGACTCAAGAAGATCTGCATTTGCTGTCACAGTTGCCACGTTCTGTGGGGACCAGCTCCCCAGCCAGCATGACCGGCCAAAGGGAAGACCACAAGGGGGGCGCTTAGACGCCGAGCGCCGTTTGGGGGGCAGTAGTTGTCATTTCCATTCCCTCATCACTGCCCAACATGCTGGCCCCTCCTGGTCAATACACCGTGTTTGTTTTTAGAAGCCGATGCAGTTGGGCGTTTGAAGGAGGTTATTGCCTTCACGCTTAACACCGTCTCGAGGCATTAGGTGGCTGACCCTGCGGTTTTCTGCGGCGTCCTGCGCCCTCACGGTTCGCGTGCTTTCACGGGCCAGGTCGCGCTGTGGGGATGTGACCTGTAATCGTGTCCTGAACACCCTCAGCAGCGCCCTGAGACAGCTGTTGTTTTCACACCAACTTCACAGCTGGGGAAACTGAGGCACAAAGGTTTGGTAACTCGCCTGAGACACACAGCCGGGAAGCGGTGGGCCCGTCGGCACCCCAGGCCGTCCCCTGGAGCCTCACCCTCACCACCCGCTGCCTCACTCTGGATCTTGAGCGTGACTCATATTTGCCAAAGAGAGTGTTTTGTTTTGTGTTTTAAATCCTGGTGTCCTTCGAGTACTTTCCACAAGATTTACTAGTCTCCTGAGTGAATTTTAAGCGCGGAATTCAAAATGTTCTTACTTCCTTTCTTGGCCACTGGAAGTACGCCGTTCATTACTGGGCTCGCGGAGTCCTGCCGTGAGTTCGTACAAGGTCAAGACCTTATTAATATTGTGATAAAATGAGACCCTTCCAGAACGACATCGATGTCGCCATGGAACACCGTTTCTGTGTCGCCGTCAGTTTTCCTTTTATGCCTATGACTTAGTTGCTGGGCGTCTTGGAGCTGCCGGCCGCCCCTGCCCTCCTCCCCGGGCTAACTTCAGAGACCTCCCGCCTCCGTAGTGATTCCCGGAAACTTCTGTATTTAAGTGTTCGCGGCACAGCTGGACCTGCCGTTTCACCGCCCACGGCGCAGACATTGACAAAAGCAGCCTCTGTGGCCTCTTAAACGGATGTGTTCTCGTTCAGCATTGTCCCTGCAAATGTACCGTCCCCCGGACCACGGGGCCTGTAAAATGTAATTAAAGACGGTGCCCATTAGTTTTGCTGCACCGACTCGTGAATCGAGGATCCGAGTTACAGGGCCTAATAAATACCGCAAAGGACACTCGTCACCTGGCTGCTCTTGGAAGATAGTGACGGACCAGCGACGGCCTGGCCTTCGCTCCGCTCTGGGGTATGACGCTGCCAGATGGCGAGGTGACATTTCAGATGCGAACGGCGCGGCAGGGCCCGGGGCGCGTGTGTCTTAGCATCCACGGTTCTTATCACCTTCCTGGGGGAGGCAGGTGCTGAGCTGCTGTTTAAGGTCTCAGGGTGTATTGGAAGCGGGGACCTTCTCCGTGAGCACATCAGGGCTGGCATCCATCCTCGAGTCGTTGAGCTAAATTGTTCAGAGTTACGCTGCGCCCGTGAGCTGCGCCGCGGCGGTCACCCAGCTCTCCCCGGCTGTGAGCAGGAACGTGCCCACCTGGCTGAGTTTCTAAGTCTCTCTTCCGGTCTGGGGGCTTGAATTCATCCCCGTAAGGTGTTCGGACGCGGTTTATCCCTGAGTAGAGCTTTAAGGCACGAGTGTGACCTGGTGGGGAGTGAGCCCGACGGTTGGACCGGATTCGCCGCTCGCCTCGGAGGGCTCGTGTGTTGTTAACTGCTTTGATTTCCTGGAGAAAGGCACCTCTACACTGTGCACTGAGTGCAGAAGGGGCCCGTACGGAGTCTAATTTTCAGATTTTCAGAATTAGACTTTCTAATTCGTATCAACTGCATAACATGGAACAAAACCTTTCCTGCATCCGTCAGCTCTTCAGACGCGCAACAGAATTTTAAAGCCTTTCCCTACCCAGATGCAGACGCTCGCCGGCCGCATTGTTGGTGCTCTCCTGGATCCGGATGGAGCACCGAGGAAACGGGCACTTCTGCTTCCTCTGAGCTGTCATAGTTTGCAGCTGAGATGATCAATCATATTCAAGGGCTCTTTCCTATTAGTGTGGATTCTGCTTCCCACACGTGTAGGTTCCTTCCCTGTTAAGCGGAACCCGGAAGGAGGTTCCTTTTATAATTTGTGGTTTATGTCCAATGCACTTTCATACAGGACTAGGTGTGTTTAATGAGTCAGGATCCACAGGCTGTGAATTTAAAAGAGAACATGGAAAACCACAGAGAAAGCTTTCTGGAGGCCAAAAGACGTGAAGCTGCCTGGGAGGCAGAGCCAAAGGGAAACAGTGGGCCTCGCAGGAGTAGGGAGAAGATGCTCTCGATTTGTCAGGGGACACTGGTGATTTACGATGTGTGGCTCTGAGCAAGACACTCTCCTCGTTACGGAGTCCGTTGAGAACTCAACATCCTGCCCCCGGGAAATGGGGGAGATTCCTGTTTCGGTTTCGAAATGCTTGAGATGTTCCAACTCAGCACGTTGGGCGCAGCAGAGGTTGGTCAGAATTGGACGTGTCTGAAAGGCTGGCGTATGGGCTGGAGTGGGTTTTGCTGCCCTGCCCTGTCGCGTTTTGTCTGGTTGTGGACCGTTTACATCAGAGGCCACCAATCGGAAACTGTCATCTGGTTTTACTTTATCCGGAGTCACGTCCATCATATATTTGTCCTTTCGGTCTCTGAAATGTCCTCCTGGTTGGAAATCTGTGAGGCCAGGTTGCTGTTTATTTCACGTGTCCGGGTGCTACTCATGTTTCCGCTCATGGCCACGTGGAGACAGCCGGGAACGGTCAGGAGGATGGTTGCTCAGCCAGCATCCTGATCTCCTTTTGACCTGAGTCGTGGCTCATTTATCCTCTATTCCCTCTTCTCACCTGTGATTCAGGCATCTTTGGGCCAGGAAGTGTTTTCCTCAATCCACTGATGTCTCCACCACCCTCATGTGCACGATACATACACACGAATACATACTTACCCGAGATACTACGCGGCTCCCTTTAGCTGGTGCATTTTCCAGGCCTCTGCTTTGTAGCGGAGTGACCGCTCCTTTTCAATATAGAGCACACTCATAAGTAGTACCCATTAGCTGCATCCGAGTCCAGGAGGGTGAGCTCACTGATGTTTCTGCCAATATTAATTGGGCATGTAGCCAGGACAGGAAAGGGCCTGAAACCTCTGAAAGGGATTCCACCTTTGAGCTGGCAGGGCTGTCAGGGATAAATCACGGTAATGCTCAGATGCTCAGATGCTCAGAAAGCAGATTTGCAGATTTGCAGGGTGGGCTGTTTTGCAGGTGCAGCGTCATTTGGTTCCACTGCTGGGGAGGAGTGTGAATCCCGGCCAGGACTGTGCCTCAGCTCACATCAGAGGAGGTACCGCCGGCTGCTTTAGGGTGGGAGAGAGGGCAGTGGGGGTCCCCACTTCCTGGGGACCAGCCCCCAGGGCCAGGGCGCCCCACCACAGCCTGAGGATGGCTGAGTCTGGCAGGACTGCGGTGTCCTCCAGCTCAGCCCC